TGCTTTCTCCTAAACGCTTGGGAGAAGCTCCATCTAAACAACTGTGCAGCACCTTGTTATTTTCTTGGGCTCTCATGCCTAATCTACTCTAAATTTGTAGGCATTTTTGAGCAGGAACCTTCTTTTTGTTATGCAATATTATAGCACTTAGCACAAACAGCTCTTGTCCAGGACTGAGAAGCTTTTTAATACAAGTGATAAATCATTATAACAATGCAGGAGAGAAATATTACATTGTTCATGATGATAACACATCCCCTTCTTTATCCTGCTATTACTGAAGTCAATAGCAAAGCTGTATTGGCTTCAGATGGTGTAAGATTAAGTCTCATAGCATTATTATTCCATAGCCTTTTGAAATTTTTTTTATAAAATGTCTTCAGCATAAAGAAAAACCTTAGCTTTATGGCAGTACACACACACAGGCTGTATTGACAATGATACAGATGTAGATATATCCACAGGGTGAATATAATGTGTGCGTATATATATACACCTTATTTTTTTTTATATATTTTTTCCCCGAATCTACTAAGGTGATGTAGGCATTATATTTGTCCTTATATTGATATGTCTGTTAATCTCAGGACTCCTGTCAAGATTAGTTTTATTATCTAAGTGAACAGTAATTTAAAAGAAATAGCATTTTATTGAACTTCTGCTTAAATCCCAGCAACTTCAGATAAAGACAGTCTGCCTGTGTGTGTGACGTGACTTGAGAACTGAAACTGCAAGTTCCTCAGAAACTTCCATCTGCTTTCATCTGGGTAGTGCTCAAAGCCACACTATGTGTTTATATTAAGCTCAAACGAAATTAATGAGTTTTTAAAGAAAAGTAACTGTAATGAAAAATCTTAAATATAATTTAAAACCTATAATTTAATACAAATTCATGACATCAACCTCTTTGTATGCAGAGGTTCTATTTAATTTTCATTAAATAATGTAATATCTTTTTTCAAATATCTTTTGACGCGAGTAATTCCTTTTTTATTATGTGCCTTATATTAAATTGATAGCCTAGTATTTCATACAAAGACTGCAGGCTGCTCAGTTCCAGCTGCTCACACTTGAGCACCCACTGGATGGCAGTCACGTACAACCTAGGAAAGAATCGTATGGTCCTTGGTCCTTTAACTCACTGACCTAAAAAAGAAATCCTGGGTTAAGTGCCTCTGAAAAAAAAAAAGGTTTCTTTTATTAGATAATGCTATTTTAGAACAAAGACAAGCAATAAAAGCAAGCGGACAGAAATCTCACTATTGCTTCACTTTTGGCTGGTGGTGCCCCACTTCATTTCAGGTGCCAGGATTAGAGCAGGGCGTAGGTGAAAGCTGGCGGTGGAAAGCAGCGCAGTCGTCCCCAGTGGGACAAGAGATGCCAGAGCTAGCAGTGGAGCAGGAGCTGGCTCCGTTGCTCATCAGAAATGCTTGTCCCTACTCATGGCAAGGCCAGGAAATCAGTATCAACAGTTTTTAAATGGAGGTTTATGTCAACCAGGAATCAAAACAACCCAAAACTTCAGAGTCGTTCGACCCTTAAAACGATTCATAGCTGAAACCAGCCTAAAATCTTTTCCTTGACTGCAACGAGACTTGAAAAATAAATTTGTGTAGGTAGATTCAGTGATCAATTCAGTACAAAAGGTCAGTTAAAAACTAATACCTCTAAGCAGGAAACTGTCTGTATCTGTTGTGATGCAACACAGCGTTAGACTCTCCTTGTCGCCATCCCTGGCTCCCACGCACAGCGGGATCTTTTGCCTCTGCACCATGATGGTATGCTCTGCCATGCTCAAGGGGAAACAAGGTCACAGGAAGTATTTTTTGTATATTTATTTATTTATTTATTTTTAATCTGGCCAAGATCACTGCTAACTAAACTGTTCCAAGGTGGGGGGAAGAAGGGGCACCCCTGCTCTTATCTTTGACTCCTTTTTGGCTGCACCAGAGAGCTGCACGGTTTCGCTGCCAGCGTGCCCTGTACGCACTGCTACAGCCCCTCTCTTTGAGCATTGCCACAGAAATCCCGCTGGAGGACCCCAGTGTGGAGGTACACATACGGGTCTGCCTCTGCCTCCCTGCTGTGCTGGTGGAAGGGTTTCCCAGAGGAATCAGAAAGAAAGTGGGGAGAGGGAGAGGGCAAGAGCACTGCTAGTTCCTTGGCCTTTGCTCCCCTGCCACAGCACCGGCACCATCCCTCTTTCCAGAGATGGGCAACGCATGATCACACACCAGTTTGAGGGATTTGGTGAAATACAGTATCATTATTTTGGGATCATCGTCATAGCATAACGGTATGTTTTTACTTATTTTAAATGTGACTGCCATTATGCGTTTTTGCCAGGAAGGGCAAAGTTGGAGAATTGTAGCTGGCAGAACAGGGTGAGGTTTGCAACGCTCTTTGGTTCCCAAAGGATTTTCCACCATGGCCTCAGAAGAGCTTCTTAGGAGATATAGCATGTTTCATTGCCTGAACTACAAAACCTAAGCTTTGGGTGACAGGGTGATATACTAGATATTCTGGGCCCAAATTATAGAGCAACTTAAAAATAAAAACCAAGACCTCAAAGCTGCTGTTGTACTGTGTGGGCAGGTGGCAGCCTTGCAGGAAACCTCTAGTGCAAAGAAACAAACTATAGCTTTACATAGCTAATATACTGACTCCCTTTTAATCCATTATGGACCAGCCTTTCCACATCCTGAACACTAACTGAAGACAAGGGGAATTTCACCACGCCACAGCTGGCAGGATTTCATATTCTGTATGAAATCCTCACAGTGTAAATGCTCACAGTGCTTCATCATTTAAATTGACTTTCCATTTTCAGGTGTGTCCTGCAGACACAATTAGCATTCTCAGTTAGAGGCAGCCTGTACATTAGGCAGGGATGACTTTTTTATTACTTGTTCCTAATAGTTACTCTGATAATGGACACCTGGACCACGGCTACAGCTCTAGGATACCCACAATACATTGATAAATGAAATGATAGATTGATAAGAACTATTATGATTTATTAGTATCTTACCGGGTTAGTGATGATTTGATCAACCCCACTGCTCAGATTCCAAGTCACAGTAAAAAGAAATATTTAAAAATTGCTCCAGATTGATTTTGGAAAAGGAAGAATTTAAATGTTGGTGATGTTGACAAATACCAGTGTACGTGGTAGTACACCACATTATTATATTAGAGTTACTTCAGCGTATTTTAAGTCATACATATAAAAGGAGAACCTAGAAGATGAACCCCGTGCAATCAGAATGTATCAGAAATAATTTGTGGTTAAGGTTGTGAACTGTTTTGTATTTTTATTCAGTAGTTGCTTGACTACACCCTTTCAAAAATAACTCTTTTTATTTTAAGTTATGTAAGTCTGTCTTCAGGAAAAATATGTATTTCTGCTATTAAAAATCTGAGAAAAGCTGTTCAAGATACTGTGAACACATTGAAACTTCTGACTTTCTGAGTAAGAAGATAGAACTATGTATTTCCGTATATTTAACTCAAAAATCTACAGTCTAAAATTGGGAGCTGGCCAGTAGTCATGCTGATAAACATCGATGGCCAAATTTTAAATAATCAGTGTGCAAATTGGTTATGGTCAATTAAAAATAATTTTTGAACATGAGTATTTGCTAGACCTGTTTTGGCATCTGCAGGGAACTTTTTCCCTCTCCATCTATTATGTATATACACTTCTCTTGGGGTTTTATGGGGCAGTATAAGAAAGACTGGAACCCTCTTTTCCAGTTATCATAGTTTTTTGAGACGATTGCCTCCACAGTTTCATGAGTATGACATTAGTAGGCTTTCCAAGTAATGAGCTCACAGAATTCCAGGGTATAATGGGATTCAGCCAATCAGTTCTATGCTATCTGCCATTCATTTCCTTCTAACTACTGCAGTATCATTAAAGCAAATTGATCCAAGATAATAATATTTTGAAATTAGAAATATGGGGGAAAAGATATGTGAAAAAATGGTATGCGCTTTAGTATTGCGGTTTCTCCAGAATTACTTTTGCAATCTATTATACCCTGCAAAGTCTTAAATCACATATATGAGTTTCTACCTTGTTTCGTGCCAAGGTAAGGCCAGAATAAAATAAATAACTGTTGTTCTGCCCTCTTAAAGCCTGCATAATAAACACGTAAAACCAAGAAAATAAATAACAACAGCAAAGATAAAAATTCACCTCAATTACATTTATGAAATGTGAACATCAAAACTCTACTGAGTTGTATTGAACTATTTTAATAGTGCTAAGTGCTAAGCATAGGCAATTTGTTTTCTTCCTCTCTCTTCACATTTTTCATTTTAAAAATATGGAAAAAATATGCTAATATAATGTGATTCTTGTGCCATATCAGGGACAATGCGAGTTTTCTATAGATTACACTATTTAGCTAAGTTGGCTACTCATTAATTTGTCTCTTAGGTTTCACTAAGTGTGACCACAATTAAGATGAACAACATTTTCAACAAGAAAATAATAAAGGTGAAGTACAAAAACGTATGTCTTATTAATGTATGACTTTTCTGAGACAAAAGGAGAATGGCCAACACCTACATTAGTCTCAAATTCTCAGCTATTCTCCTGTGGGCAAAGCATGTAAATCTAGCTTTAGCAGTAACATAGGTCCCAAATGGAAATCTTGCATTAAAATAATAAGCTGTTTTGTTGTTGATGTTGAGGCTGTTGTTATTTTTAGCAATTATATTGAAGCACACAAGCAAAAGCTGAAATGATTCTGTAGCAACCAGGACATACAAATGTCCAATATAGGTATGTTTCAGGCCTTGGGAACCTTGGAAATAGCAGATATGGAAGAATTGGTATTAACTGTTACCTTTCCTTTATCAAAATGAAAGCAGAGCACATCAGAGAGAGTCGTAAGTGGTGGCATAAACTCTATAAAGTAGACCCGATTCAGTAGCACTGTAAGAAGGCAGATCAGTTCAAAATGCTCATCATTTCTTTTCTCTTCCCCCAGCTTGATCACTATCCTCCAACAAGTTACAGCCTGCCAACAGCGTCTGACACTCAGTTCAATTCCCCAAAGGCACTGTTCCTAGGAAAAGTTATAGGTAAGATTTCATTGTATACCTGCTTATTCTATTAGGTGGTTTCAGAGAATACTGAAAGCTGTAAGCACATGGGACGAAAGCTATATGTGTCGTGCAGCAGGACACTTGCTGGACGTGTCTTTCTTGACTAGAAGTTGGTGATATTGGAGTTACACCTAACCGGAAGGGTTATGTTCACCTTGTCACATAGGCTGATGTGCACACAAATAAGTGATTGCCGAATGCATGGAAAAAAAACAGATACGGGTAAAGAGACACTTGTATTTATGCAGTTTCATTACCCTCTAGGTGCTAGGTGGCGGGAATACAAGGAAACCATTGAGACCTCTGCTTCTATGAGGAGATATTGAAGTTATTTTAAATCATATCTTCCAGTGTGAAGTTACCGTATGTTTTATATAATGTCTTTATCCAGGCAGTCAGGCTTCTTATCCCAGTGCATCCTCTTGTGTCATAACTATCTTTCATCAGTCTGGCAAATCTGCCACTCTCTGACAGTGAAGCCCACTGTCAAGGTCCTTTGGAAGTCTGTAACACCTACAGCAACACTCATCCATACATTTTCCATCCCTTTTATGGACCTCATCATTACTTCCCAGTGCAGCAGCTTCCCGCCCAGCTCCCCAGCTGAACGCAAAAGGTGATACAGATGCATCTTAAACTGTCTTGGCCTCGCTTTTGAGCCATCCTACTTTCCATTGCTTAATTTTTCCACTACTGACATCTTACGTGAAATTCCAGGGTTATTCACTTGAGGAATCAATTATTCCCATGTCGTTTACAGCTCTTGAGGAGGGCTTTTTCCCCTTTTCAGAGATATGAGGGTATTGATATAATTTCCTGGAAGTGGTTTGTACAGGGATGTGGTTGCTTGAATTGCAGTGAAGCATTTATTCCAGAAAATTGTAAAATTTTCTTTGTTTAGTGGTGCAAGGCAGTAATCAGCGAACGCCGTGCACTGATTTTTGAAGTGGAAAAGCAGTTGACCACGTAGCTAATGTGACTTTTTGAAGATACACTTTTCCATTTGTTTCATTTTTAAAATTTAACGTGTTGAACTTCTGTGAAATGGGAAACAAAAAGCCTTTAAAATGGTTGGTAAGCAAGAGAGACACGAACTGTTGTCTGGTACCCTCCAAGTCAGTTCTGTAGATAACACAAAAGACAGTGTGGCTCGATTTTGGCAAGCCTCTGGAAACCGGGTGCATTCCCACCTCACCACACTGTATTAGGGCGGTTGGACTCAAGCTGACTGTCCGCCTCAGCCAGGCTGCCGGCATCTGTAGGAGGATGTGAGGAGACAAAGGACTTCAGGTGGAGCATTCAGCATCTGGAATAACTCTGCAGGTAAAGAATGGGGCTTGAGTCTTTCCTGCCATGTAATTGTGAGCAAAAATATCAGCTACAATATAGTGAAGAGTGTCGCAGTGTCCATCTCCCATAATGGACTCATTGCCAGCAAGGTTCTGTTTCCTTTGAGATGGCAGCTCTCTGTGTGTAAGAAACTACCACAGTATGGCAGCACTGCATCCACACCTCAGTCTTCTAAATAAGCTTACCTTTTTTGAATAGTTGTTTGGATCTGGCTAAAACCGGTGCTTTCACGGCCATTCTAATCAGGCAATGCTGATGAGGCTCAGCAAGGTGCGTGAGAGAGTGTGGAGATAGGCATACAACAGAGAAAATACTGCAGAGTAAGAGAGAAATAAAGAGAATGAAGGGAAAGAAAAGGACAATTCCTAAAACACAGAGCAAAACAATGCACCATACACTGTGGTGCGAAAATAAAAAATGGAAGAAACACAGAATGACAGAGAACGCAAGAAATAGTTTACGCTACACTCGTCTAAAATATCCAGAGTGCAGACAGGCCTCTGCAGGGGAATCACTTCTTATTCGTTTGAATAGCTGAGCTGGGAGGTGTACTAGCAACATAGTCAGGTTCACATAAGTGAAACCATGACATAGATAGGAGGTTTAGTCTGTTTCTTTCTGAGCTGAATTTTTGAACGCAGTCATAGCACTACAAAATCAAAGTCCACCCAGCTGCCTCCCGCATAACCCCATGCCCAAGTGCCCTGTTTTTTTGCTGATTTTAAGTACTCCCATGCTGAAATTTTCTTTAGGCATTCGTGGAGAATAAAGGGGTTGCAAGAACTGAGCAACTCAGATGGTCCATGATACAACCATTCATGTCTAGGATACTTGTTTCAATATTGGCAGTGACTGAAAGGCATAACCATCTCAGAGGTCCAAATAAAATGAGTTATTAATCCAGTTCTGTTCCTACAGATCTAAACCCATAACACATCACATTTACCTCATTTGCAAGAAGTCATGTATGTGGCTGAAAATAGAGTTCTAAGTATCCTCTGACTGTCTCAGTTGGATCCTACCAAATGAAAGATGAAGCTTGATAGTAGAACAATATCTGTATTCTGCCTGTTCGTATCAAGAGCTTGATCATAGGACTCACTGGGCTTTTTCAGAATAAAGACATATAAGAAGAAAAAAGTTAGCAGAGGTCAGTGAATACAATTTGATTTTTTGTTATAAAAGAAAAAAGTAAGAAAAGTTTTAAATATCTGAGAACTTTCAATTTATATTCCTCTCACTCTTTATAAGTAGGGGAAACTGACCAGAGCAATTAAAAGCAAGTTCCAAATCTAGAATTTCAAAGAGTAAACATAGTCTTGATGATATCTCTCCAATAAATACATATGGTACAGTTGAAGATTGTCATGAGGAAACATAAAGCAATCACATCTGTCACTGATGCCCACCTTCGACTCCTCTGCTAGCTTAAAGTTTGGCAACAGGCAAAGGTCTTGGGATACCCGGAAGGATCAATTTGTGGATAGGTTATATTTCTGGTTTCCTGTGCTTCGTGGTGATTTTAAGCCTCAGACAACTGCTTCCCTGTTTCCGAAGATGCTATTTGTTATCCATTCTTACAAACTGCATCATGCATTTGTTACACATTGTACGTTCTATTATGCCTGGCATTGATTACTTCATATTTTAACAGCATAGGATTATATTAGCATGGTTGGGAATATGATTCTTTTGCTTCCTCTTCTCTGCTTCTGTTGTTGTCTTTGTAAAGTATGATGTTTTCTTAAGTGAAAAAGCAAATCAGTAGTAAAGAAACAACATAAAAAAACCCCTTCTTTCTTCCAAAAAAATATTGAAATTATCTGCAGAGACACAGATTTTCTGATGTAAAATTGTTGTGCGACTGACCATGCCTGTTGATCAGCTTTACTGTGCAAATCTCAAGAGTAACACTGAACGAGGGAAGAGCACAGTTAACACAGTCACATGAGCGCAGCAGTGGGAAGGGCAAAGTAGATGCAGAATCCAGTATCTTTGGAGCTTCTAGTTGTCACATCATACTGGCTAGGCATATGTCAGTGGACGAGAGGGATTAGCACCAACAGAAGATCTGGACGCATCTATCAAGTTACAATTTGTAACCACTTGCAATTACATGCTCTAAATGAGCAATATGGGTGTAGCCTCCTATTTCCCTGCCAGTCTGTCATCGGTTGCATTCAGTTTCTGTTGTTCCCGTACTATCCAATTCTTATTTGTCATCAAAATGAACACACAGCCCTATTACTAAAGACAGATGGCTTTTTGAAGAGCACTCTGGAACAATCTTACTAAGAAACTGATCTTCCGCCTGTCTTATTTCCATTTTTATTAGGGCTATTTGCATAGGAGCAGCCGTTTCTGCTACAGCTGTGCTTGCTGTGATAGCTTGTCTGCTGCCAGTCAGAAATCATCACTTGTACAACACCTACCACAATGCAACACCACTCTCTGCTCTAGGTGTTACAACAATATGGCTGATTAATAAAAGGGTGACGAAATGGCTCCGTGCCACGTAACTGTTCATAATATTTTCTGTAAAGCAGGAGGGTCACATCAGGAACAAAAAGAAATGATTGAATTGCAGTTGTAATCAGGGAGCTTTTCTTCTTCTTTAAGTTGAGGTGTATTGTGCTTTCTTGAAATAATTTCCAGAAAACGCAGTTGTTCACTGGTTTGAAAAACACTGATATAAAATATTTTTAGCCTTCTGGGAAACTGAAGGTAAAGGCATTCAGTATATAATTCTTACCCAGGTAAAAGGGATTATGATTTCAGTTGTAAATAAAGCTGAAGGAGACAACAAATGAAAAATCCTGTTTTATGTTAGTGTATAGTAATAAAAATAATAGCTCTAGACAAATGCAGGATTTTATGAAAAAGAAGGAAATTGTTAATGTTTCAAGGAAGCTCTTTAATTTGTTATTTAAACATACTTAGGCTTTGATGGCTGACAGAGACAAGGTAAGAGGGAAAAGCTGGCTATCTGGATGACCAGCTATGAAGAGAAGAAAACCAAAAAGTAGACAATGTGACAGGAAGTGCTATGTGTCACAGTTCAGATCTGAATCTACATTTTCATCTGCAACTTGAGACTCATTACTGAGATAGAATAGATCAGAGGTTTGATTTTCCCTGTAAGTGTAGCGGTTTGGGATGCAATGTTCAGGTTTGTCTTCACATCCTTTTTCGAGACATACACCAATTTCTGTTATGGGAACTTACTATACAGGGAACTGATGTCATAGTCTGTACTTTATTACTAAAATGGAGTATTTCTTTGTGTTTTAATATGCATTTATAAAGATTTAGCTACACATAATTAACTATGATTTTGTAAAAGTATCATTCTGGTGAGCAGAGATAATTTGAGAGTTTCTTAATAGGCTGTTTGATTGAGCCCAGAAACACCAAGATCAGACAAGAGTTGCTCTTGAGAAAGCAGCTGGGACGTAAGGGAAATGCGCTCCTTGTCTGTTTTCCATCTCCACCAACCACTCCAAAACAAATGATATCATTTCAAAAATACTTGCATATCTACTTGGAAACAATTAACATAAGTCACCTATAACACATACAGATTATCAGTTTCAGAACTGACAGCTGTCCCTGCAGCTCATCTCTGT